CGGATCTTCCGCGATTTGAATCGCCACGAGTACGACTCCATCAACCGTGTTCTAGTAACGCTTCCGCTTAGCAATCTTCAAGGGAATGAAGATGCACTCCCTCTCTCTCCCGTTGCTAGTATCTCCTAGATTGATCTTGGTGACACGTAGGAAAATTTTGAATTTTTACTACGTTCCCCAACATCTTGTACAGAACGTTGCATAAACTGATCGAGTGGAATTGAGTCAAGAGTGTGGGATTTTTTACCTTAGGAATAAGTACCAAGGTAGTCTCGTTAATGCTTTCAGCTGTCTCCTTTCCTTCCACAATTTTCAGAACTGCTTTTGTGACTTCATCCCCACAAATGTCCCAATGGTGTTGGAAAAAATGTGTTGGAAAGCCGTCAGGGCCTGGTGCCTTTGTGGGGTACATTTGAAACATCGCGATCTTCACTTCCTCGGCACTATAAGGAGCGTTTAAAATTTCATTCATGTCTGGCGTACCCTTCAGAGGCACCATATCTAGGACCGCGTCCATGTTATGGACCCCTTGAGATGTGTATAAATCCTTGTAAAATTTCATGGCCAGTTCCTCCATTTTAGCTAGGTTCGAAGTCGCCTGTCCATCGGGACGCTGGAGGGATTTGATCTGGTTTTTTATCCTGCAGCAGGAAGCGCGAAGCTGAAAAAAAATAAGTGTCTTTGTCCCCATGTACAAGCCACTCTATCCTGCCCCTCTGCCTCCACAAAATTTCCTCGCGATGAAACAATTCCACAAGAAGATCAACTGCTTTTAACTCTGCCGAAGTGGGAGCAAATCGTCCTCGGCAATCACGCATGTCCTGTAGCTGAGGCTAAAGTTGGTGTATCTACATGCGTATGTTGCCAAAATGGACTTGATCCCAATGCGTCAAATCACCAGCCAGATTATTTAATTTGTCTCCTACCTGGGCTACCGAGTCGCTCGGATTCTGCGCCCATCCCGCCTGCACTACATCCACCAAGGCTGGGTCACGCTCCCAACAAACTTCATATTTAAACCTGCGCGGGGCCCTTCTGCATGCATGCATGTCCTTTAGCTTCACGTAAATAGGTATGTGATCGGACGAGGCAGCTTCTTTGTGTTATGTTATTGCATCCAGGAATGCCACACACCAGGCCATATTTGCTACACTTCTATCTAGCCGAACCTTGGTATACGTACCTCCAGCAACTTTTTTTGAAGGTCCAATTTCTTCCAATGTAGCCAATATCAGTCAGGCCACACGTGTATAGAGCATCGCGAAATAAGTCCATCTAAGCTTGGCTCAGAGTACCCACACCATCATGTTCCTGTGCATGAAGTACTTCGTTGAAGTCACCCATCACAACCCAGGGCAGATTGCTGGAACCGACAATCCCCTTAAGCATATCCCACATTTTGTAACATTGGTTAACCTGCGCTTCTCCATAGACAAAAGTAACTCTAACTTTTGTATCAACAAGCTCATCAACTGTCAAGTCAATGTGATATTCGGAGTAACCAATAACTTTGAGCTTTAATTCCTCATTCCAAAAAATTCCCAAACCACCACTTCTACCAGAGCTACTAACAACAAAACTTTTATTGTATCCTAAAGAACCTACCATATTCTCTACTCGAGAGCCCTCAATTTGGGTTTCAACAATACACACAATAGAGGGGGCAAGTTGCCTCATGAGATCACGAAGCTCCCGAACCGTCGCGGGTTTGCCAGCCCCGCGACAGTTCCAACATAGCAGACTCATTGCATTAGGCGCGACCCTACTTGGGAGTCCGCCAAACACGCATCAATGTTTTTGGCCACCACTGCATTCTTCCCACATTTCTTGTTGGTTGTGTTCGAGCTTTGCTTGGCCCTCTTTGGTTCTTGCACTGAAGAAGGGCTTGGCGGGATCTCTGGTGGGGGTAGCAGCAAAGGATTGCTAGCATTACCGCTGATAGCCGCCAATGTCAAAGATGATTTGGGATCACCTGTCGTAACTCCTCTCTTCTTGTTCTTTCCTGCCTCGTCCATAGCCACATCAGTAGTATGGTTGGTTGTATCTTCCTCGTTTTATCCTTCAAAAGGGTTGGACTTTGTAGGGCCCCGGCTGCAGCCTCTTCCAGGCTGGCCTCTGCCACGGCCTCCTCTCCCTCCATTTCCATCCTCTTGACCTCTTCCCTCCCTTGGACCTCTTCCCGGCCCTTTGAACCATGTCGCTTTGAGGTCCTTGAAAACTAATGCTTTTGGAGGGTGAACTCCATTGCCACACTCTTTAAACAGATGCCCAAAATATCCACAAACAGCACAATCTGGGAGCCGTTCGTATTTAACTCTAGATATCACTCTCTGGAGAACATCTTTCTTCTTGATCACAAGCAAGACTGCATTCTTGAGGGGCTTGGTGACATCAATCCTTACTCGGACCCGTGCGAAATTCCCTTCAAAGTCCTGTGATTTTGGCTCAACAAAGATGAATTCTCCTACCGTAGCGGACAATGCCTTGATCTTGGAAAAGAAGCGTCGGGGAGATCATGGATCTGCATCCAATAATCAATCTTATTGAGCTCTATTGACGACGGCTTAGTGAAGCCATCATAATGTGCTAGAACTACAACTTTCCCTTTGAAAGTCCATGGTCCATCCTCCATCACCCGTTCCCAGTCGCCGAGGCACCCAAACTGCATAGTGTACAGGTTCTCCTCAAGCGGCCTAACCTTTACCTCCTTTGCCAAGTCCCAAACAGCCCTCATATTCCGATAGAACCAGTACTGGTTGTACGTTTTCTCCGTGTGAACCCTAGCAATGGCCATCCAGGGAGTTGCCTCCGCCGGAAGCTCCTCATCTTCGATCACGACGTCCTCCAGATCGTCTTCCTTCAAGCCAAGTTCTTCCATCATCGCCTCCAGATCGGAGGCAGACGTGCCCGATCCTGAGGCAGTATCACCCATCAATCTCTTGCTCGAGGTATTTTTTCCGCGAGCGGTAGGATCCCTAGGGCCCTCGGCCCCCGCCATCGGCGCGCCGACGTGACTAGCGGGGAGGGGAAGGGAGGGGAGATTGGTTCTCTACGAGGGATGAAAATCGCCGCCGCCGAGAGGAAGGTAAAACCCTAACGAGAGGGGAGTTTTCCGCGCGGTCGCTCGTTAACTATTTTTTTGAGGGAAGCTCGTTAACTAGTTGCTCGACATTTCCTAACGTGCGCCTTAAGCGCCCGCTTCATCTGTTGCCACAAACGGGCGCATACCCCATGCCGCGCTGGGCCGGCTCGTTTTCTTCTTTTTCTTTTTGTTAAAAAACTGCAGCAAAAATCTTATTTCGAATGCGAGGGTTCAAACTCGCAATCTCTCTGTTGAAACAGCAACGCACTAACCAACAGACCACCGTAGCAATTCTATCCATGTACTTATTTTCGTTCTTTTATTTACGTAGGCCGCGAGAGCCCACCAAATAGCTTTCACTGCTTGCGGATTTCTAGGCGTTTTTTTGTTTCCTTTTTTCTTTTTCTTTTCTCATTTTTTTTTCTTTTCTTAAAAGTGCGAATTTTTTAAATTGGTGAAATTTTTAAAATTGAATGAACTTTTTTTAAAATTCGATGGAAATTTTCAAACTCCATGAATTTTTTAAAATGTGAACAATTATTGAGAACATGAACAAAAAATTATATACGATGAGCGATTTTCAAATATACACTGAACATTTTTTCAGTGTACGATGAACAATTTTTAACTACACAGCGAACATTTTTGTGATATACATTGAAATAATTTAAAACATATTTATACATTTTTTTGATATAAGATGAACAAATTTTATACATTGAACATTTCTGTAATATAATCTGAACAATTTTTAACTACACATTGAACAATTTTGTGATATGCCATGAAAAACCATTTAAATACCCATTGAACATTTTTTTATGTACACTAAACAATTTAAAATTGTGAACAAAATTTGAAAAAGTGAATAAATTTGAAAACTATGAACACATTTTGAAATCATGAACAAAAAAAGAAAAATACATTTTTTTAAAATTCCATGAACTTTTTTCAAATTTGATGAACTTTTTTTATATTTCGATGAACTTTTTTCAAATTTGATGAACTTTTTCCAACTTTGATGAACATTTTTCAAATTCGGTGAACATTTTTCAAATTCATTGAACTTTTTTAAAAATTTGGACGAACTTTTTTTGATATTGATGAACTATTTTCAAAATTGATGAACTTTTTTGAAATTTGTGAACTTTTTTAAAATTAATGATTTTTTTAGTTCGCTAACCTTTTCAATTCGTGATTTATTTTGAAATCTGCGAACTTTCAAATTTCTTCCCCAAAAAATTACGTTTGCCCAAATCTGTGCACAATAAATAGTGCGACTTTAATTATTCTTAACTCATTCGCGCTGAAAATATCTATGATCGATTTGTTGCCCTAGTGGTTAGGTGACATGGAACATGTACTGGACGTAGCTTGGTCGAATCCTTTCGAGAGCAACCCTTTTTAGGGGATTTTTTTGTGGTATAGATAAGGCGTATCGTGGGCCGGCCCCTGACAGCCAGCTTCCTGAACCGGCGCTTAAGACGCCGGTTGGGAGCTCCCTGGTTGCTCCCCCGTTTAGGATTCGCCTCGGTCTCGTCCCGGGCCTAAAACGGGCCACATATAGCAGCGCCCCCCCGTTTAGGATTCGCCTCGGTCTCGTCCCGGGCCTAAAACGGGCCACATATAGCAGCGCCCCGGGCCTGCTACGAAGTACATCGGCTTTCTACTTCCCAATTCCCATCGGTCTCGCCTCCCCACCCTTCATCAAAAGAAAGCATCGGTCTCGTCCCCTTCCCAGCAATCCCTAACCTGTCCGCCGCCACCCCATCACAAATTGATGCACCGCCGCCACCTCATGGATAGCCCCGACGCGCCGTCGGTAGCCAAGGCCTCCTTCCGCTACCCCGACTGGGTGATGCTAGATCCACACACCCGCCTGAACTAACCCGTACCCACCATCGATTCCGATTACCCTATGGAAGACTTTCACGCGACCAAGGCGCACGCGGAGACATCCATGGGCGATCCCATAGACGTCTTCTTCCGCGCCGTGCCACCGCCAGGTGCTTCCCGCCTCTATGTTAACTGGACGCCTCGCCGGTTTACAAAGGGTTCGTCGTCGTCGTCGGGGGCAGGGAAAGGAGAAGATCGCTGGGATGGATTTTACGGACGGGAACCCCTTGTCCTGGCCGCCAATGGCAATTCGATTCTTCTGAGGCTCACTCTCAGCAACACCCGGGTAGACTTCTTCGTCTACACGGTCCACTCCACTGGGCCGCCCTCGCTCTTGCGTCTACCCGATTGCAAACTCAGATTCTCAAACAGTTGTCTCCGCTCTGGTGGGTTAGATCATATGGTCACCCTTGGTAACATTGGTTTTTTATGTGATGCTGAAAGCGAAGAATTTGTGGTGGCAGACCTAATGATTTTGCCGAAACACGATGATGCCTCCCACCATGATGATACTCCGGTGGTAGCCGGGCTTTGTATTTTCCGGTCATGCAGCCCTGGGGAGGACTGGAAAGCCAGCAAACCACGTATATGCCATAAGAAGGGGCAAGGCGGGGAATTAATTTGGTGGCACACTGATGTCGTTGTCCCCCATGGAGTTTCCCTGTGCTACATAGATTATTTCCGCGGAATCCTGTTTTTGGATATTCTCAGCAAATGCCCGCGGCTCTTGTATGTCCGGCTTCCTCTAATGAACCCTGTTGGTGATCCTTATGATAGTGAAACTGGACGAGGGTGCCCATCAGCTTTTAGGAGCGTGTGTGTTACCAATGGCGGAACCATGAAGTTTGTTGAGGTTGTCACCAGAACCGTCTTTCTTTCAGGCAGCCAGTCAGCTGCTGCTTCTTCATTTGCAATCAAAGTTTGGAGGCTTAGGGAACATGGCATGACATGGGAGAAAGAAAGTACCATCCAAGATACCGAGCTCTGGTCCCTGCAGGGGTATGGTGATCTACTCCGTGTCCCGCCAACATTCCCTGTTGTGAGCATGACGAACCCGGATGTCATCTTTTGTGTGCTGAGCAATGGGTGTTTCGGTGACGCCAATGTGACATGGGTCATTGCGATTGACATGTTGAAGAAGACTCTGAGATCAGCTTTTAGATACAAGAAAGTACATAGGAACAGCATTGAGAATGATGGCAACATGGCGTCTGCGAGCCTCTCTACTAATCGTGCATTTATTCCCTCCCAGCTCTCCAAGTACTTAGGTCTGACTGGAGCCAGAAGGTAACTATGTCCTGTTTTACTCTTCATTCCATTTTGTTTCTGCTTTTCCAATGTATGCCAATAGCCTTGTTAATTTGCATGGTAGTCACGTATATTTCCTTAGTGAACCTACTGCAGTTAATCCTGTTTGTTGTTGATTCTGCAATATTTGTGTATTGTCCTCCCATTGTGTACCTCTTCTATGTCAGATGTGTACAATGGATGTTATATGCCAGTCTTGTTGTGTGCAAGAACTAGTGAATAAATGTCACTTTGGTGCTCAAGGTTCCCTGAGTTACAAATCAAATTTTACATTGTATGCACCTTCAATTTTTTTGCAGAAAATACTGTACTTGTATCTTTACTTTTTTCCAACCTAAATAGTTTGTAAATTAAATATAACTAAACCACCTGTATCTTTAATTTGTTGCACACCCAAAACTTTAAGAAGAAAAGATTGGTGTGCTAAGTATTGGGAAATCGCCATGTTCTAGTTTAATGTAGGCGGGAGCCTTCAAGATCAGGAAATGATCCATCCATTTTTCTTTGTGCACTACATGTTTTGCCACCTATTAAAAAAGATGGAATGTTTTCACATCATTGGACCCTCAATTTCTGCATGTTTCTTTCTTTGATAATTACAATATCTGATAGAAAATGAGTAGGCAAAATAGTAGATTACTCCTATTGTAGCCAATAATCTGGTTTTGAGTTCTGTTCATTTTTCCTAGTTCGCTTCGAGTCTGTATGTTTTAATGAGATGTTGCTTTCTTGTAAGGTTCATGTGGTTTTAGGGACTGTCAACTGCGAGTGGTTAATCAGGAATGTGGGGCACTAGGGTAATACTTAGTTAGGTACCAATTTTAAGAAGAAAATTTATCCAAAAATGAGGTTGGTACGCAATCTAGATCTGATGTCCAGACTTGAGGCTAAGGCTCAATGATGACATTTTAGAAGAAAATGGACTTGGCAGCTACTTTGAACTAGCTGCTCTGCTCCTGGCTGCAGTTTGGCTCCTAGCTGTGCTTGTGCTCATGCCCTTACTGCATCAGAGAGGACAACTGCCGAGTTCTGACCGGCCTCGCATGTCCTTGTTTTGCTCACTCCTAAATTTGAATTCCCATAACTTTTCTTGTCTCCGCAAGCTGCTGAGCACCGTTGTGTGTACTATAATTTGGTATTTTTGATACAAAGTTATATGTAAGCATGGAAAACTGCCATATTGGCTTGTCTCAGTTTGCTGGTCTAGTTTATGATAACCATAATGGAAGTCGGCTCATGAAAAAGTGGTGTAAGAAAGAGATGTCATAAATGACAATCTAAGCTCTTAATAATGTGGACACAGCTAAAGAAAGTAACCAGCACAAAAAGTCACAAACTGCATAATAATGTTCTTCCCCAACTTCTGTTAAATGAAGCATGAGGTCAACATCTTTTATTTCTACTATGGTAAAAATATCAACTTATCAGAAACAGTTCAGGGGATGCTTAACAAATGAACAATTTGTTTTGTGCAAACCAAGAAGGTCCAGTTTGTGTAACAGCTTGTAATTATGTTGTCATGAGAACTATCGTCAATGATATCATGTGATTGACATTTGTGTTACAACTTTTCTGAAAAACAATGATATGGGGAGCTCACTTTGATGTTGCATTTTCAGGAAAAGAAGGAATCTGGAATGAACATGTATAAGTTACGTCTACCCTAGCCATGATGGCGCTGGCTGGATGGATGCATTGCCACAAATATCGTGTGCTTGGAACCTGTTCCGTCTACTATACTTGTATTTTCTAATTAGTGAAGTTACCATTATCTAAATGTCTTTAGGATAACGCAACAGAAATCAAATGAGTTGTCAGTTATGTGGTCTGTCATGTTTTAGTGTTCTCTTATCTTTATTCTGAGAGGTTGCTCCGTATGTAGTCACTTGTTTAAATCTCTAGAAAGACAAATATTTAAAAACGGAGGGATTAGTTTTGATAATGAAAATATGGCATTTCATTTACAATGCAGAGTTGATATAAAAAGAGGCATTGCTCATAACCCACTTAGCCCACAGTGAGCATAGTTAATAAAAAAATTCGTCTTTCTCATATAATCAATCTCCCTAAGGCCATGATTCATCATCAAGGATGGCATAAGCAACATACTACTATAACATTTTTCATTGAGGGACGAGCTAGCCAAATTGGCAGCAACCAAATGATTTACTCCCTCCGTCTTTGAAATAGTGTACTTTCAACTTTGTTGAAGGGTCAAACTATCTCAAAGTTTCATCAAATTTGTGCAAAAATATATCAATGTTTGTGAAACCTCATACTTTATCACGAATCTAATGATACTGATTTTATGACACAAATGTTGGTGTATTATTGTATAAATACGATCAAAAATAAAAAAGTTTGACTTTCCAAGAAAGTTGGAAGTACAATATTTTAAGGAGGGGAATACAAAGTTTGTGATGTCATAGACCAAACATGCTTACATGTTCCTAGGCAAGTAGGTAGCTGCACGAATCAGCCATGCCATTACGTTAGGAGTGGCATCAAATCACAGTGGCAAAACAATTGCTTGTTTCATCCATAGCAATAAATTAAGATGCAAAACTAGATCATTACTTGCGTCATCACAGTTCCAGTGCTTCATTAAAGCACCGGGAGTTGATTTTTGTTCTTCTTCTGCTTGTTCTTCCCCTTCATCACATGGTTCAATAACAGACAAGCTTCGCCTTCAATATAAGATTTGGCATGTCAATTAGAGAGCACAAGTATAGCACTAAACAATGACATTAATCTTCTGATGACAGTAGCAAAATACAGGCCAACAGTTGTGAAATATCATTATCTTACCTCAGTGGGATATTACGGTGCACATACAGATTGGAAGTCTTGTCTCCATTTGTGCAGTTCACGAAAATCAAACAACATTACCGTATAAGTAGCACAACATATGAAAGCACATTACACAATCATGTGAAAGAAGTCTAGTACTGACTTCTCATGACGCAAAATTCAAACAACTCACAAGAAGAAGATCTGAATCAAATTTGCCAACATGCATAGGAAGTCAGATCTCCTCTTGTGCAGCTCCACTAAGATCAAGTTATCAAGCAACGTTGTCGGTGTGACATTTTGGTTGAATTGCACAAAACACTCTTAAAACAAAAATGTTTTGTACAGTGCAACAAAAGGTTGCAATAGCAACAAGATGGAGTAGATAACCCTGTTTACACAAAGGTGCAAAGGAAACAACTACTGGTTAATAACGGTGGATGACACAGAAGCCCACAAAAAGAAGCATCTAACTTATCTAAATGGGAAAGAAAGCAAGGCAGTAGCATTTCTCAAACAGCGGCATTGCTTGATATTAACAGAGAGATTATATTAACAATAAATTCGTTAAACATGTAATTTGCTTTTAACTGTGGCATTGCTTCAATTTTCCAGCGGCATTATTAGATTAACAACAACTAAAGAGTTGTACGGGACAGTGGACGCACCAGTACCATGTACATCTACCGATGTATAAAGGGGTGATGCACAATCGGTTGCAACAAAGAACAAACAACCAAGGAGCATATTTGTGTTGGTCCCAGTTTTGTTATCTTTAGACATCTTTTCCTATGTGAGGGCAGCAAATCTAGTCCTGCTCAAACTCTATAGCCATGTCCCCCACCAACAGAAAGATTAGTTCGTTACAGATGTGCGTACTGCGTTTGTCATTGTTTTTCCTTTTCGACCAACGTAGGTGCTGGATAGCCAGTCTGTACTACTTTCCTCCCTCCCTTTTCTCTTTGAACCACGTCCTAGATTCATGCTATACAACTTTCCTCACTACTTTCCAGTTTGATCCAACACCTAGATTCGAGTGCAGAAGCGAAAAAAGCCCACATGCAGCTAGAGCAATGCATGTGGAACAAGTAAATTATACCTTAAGGTTCTCGGGGTGTGGCTCAGTAGGCGGCCGGAGGCCAATCTACCCACACTATGTACGACAGCGAGGAAGAAGTGGTCGGAGGCCCTCCCGCGCTGCCGCTGGGTGAAAGAGAACAGCTGCGCCGATAGTGGATTCCCTCCCTCGCCGACGGCGACAGCGTTAAGCCTCCTTCCCTTCCCGGCGGACGGATCCTGCCGGCTCTTTGACCAGCAGTGAGGGGGGAGAGAGAGAGAGGCCAACGAAGTCTTGTTTAGATCTGGAGAGGGTGAGAGTGTGTGAAGAGAACAACTACAAGCGCTGAGGCTCCAACGTGTATATATATAGCGGAGAGAGAGAGTGTGAAGAGAGCAAACCCTAGAAAATAAGCGCCGAGGCTGCAGCGTATATAGATGGAGTGGTTTTCTTTTTCTCTCCATAAAAATCATTTTAAATTGTGCACGAAACGGAACTCTTTATTTGACGTTAGAAGGTGCAACGGGACCAAGGTGCAGGCAGATTGGAGGAGAAGGAGAAACTTGACCGGTCCTTCCTCCAATGAAAGCCCTGATTTCTATCTCTAAATGCAACAATTAATCACAACAATTAAGAGATGTCGTTTTAGCTACCATGCAGGGCCACATATTAACTCGCATGCAAGCCGACTTTGATTCCTTGACTGGTCAACGCGTAGTTGCGCTCCATGCATTGGATTTCCGAGGGAGATAACAAGGCAGAGTAAGTAACAAAGCTCGCTAGCAACGAGGCGAGGAGGGGATTCAGATGGTATGTTAATGGACAACGCCTAACCATTTTGGGAATATTCTGATTTTCGTAAGATGAGTTAACACCTAGACAGATGGAGACATGGAGTACTACTCCTCAGTCCAGGTTTGATGCAATATTCGTCACCTCTTCTCTTCTTGTATGTACTCCATTTATCTCACTTCATGTTGCTTCCCACTCACACGATATTCTTATTCTATAAACTTGTGTGTGTGTGTGTGTGTGTGTGTGTGTGTTTTAACTTTTAATAGTGTGTGTGTTAGAGAGAGCGACAAATCGACCTACTCCTACAGAGAGATGGTG